AGTAACCAGAAGAGCACCCATGAAAATGACAACTCTGCTTAGTGTCAACACAGGCAACTTTGTTCTAACCTGAAGTTGGGCCCTAGAATTCATAAAAGTCCTGCTGAAATCTGACTGTAGCCTGTATTTCCTAGACTGTAAGTCACAGGGTCATGAGGTTAGTATAAGGATGGGGTGAGGCATCAACCAACCTGCATCCTAAGAAACGCACTCGGTATGGAAGCACATTTCTGTCCTGACGGGCTCGCTCAGCCTTGCCTGTGGGACACCACAGGACCTCAGTCCCCCGCCAGCGAGGCCCTAGTTCTCTGGACGTCCTCACTGAGCACTTCAGATCCAGGCATTGGAGAATGAAGGTGCAATAGGCACAGTGAGAGAGGAGAGGAGAGTGTGACCGTGTGTGTGTGTGTGTGTGTGTGTGTGTGTGTGTACAAATCACATGACTGGAGATGGTGGGTGTGGATAGACGTGGCTGGATGGCCGACTCGACTGTGGCATATTCTGGAAGCTTCACAGGTAGGTCACAAACAGGAAAAAAATAGTCTTTCCATGATGACAGGTCTGATTAGACTTTTCCTGTTTCACTGAATTGTCTTTATATCAATTCACCATGTCATGTGTTGTGGTGGATGACAATGGTCTTGTCCTAATGGAAGGGCAGAAGTTCAGTCGAGCGTGATGACTAAGAAAATACCTCACAAACAGCAGCCAGTGCGAGAGCACTCACCACAAGGCAGCACCGCATGCGGAGTCACCCAGAAGAGGACAGCGTAAGGACTGCCTGGCAGAGGCCAAAGGGAAGCCTAAGAGGTCCCAGTTACACTGAGATATCACTGCCCCTAATTATGTTAGTACCATGTTGGGATTCAGTCAGAGCTACATGGCATGGATTGTGGGGTGTTGCACCCCAAGTCTCTGAGTCAGTAGGTCTGGGTGAGGCCTGAGACTGCATGTTAGCACATTCCCAGGAGATGCTCCTCGCTGACCAGGGTCCACCTGCGAGGCCCACTGCTATGCAGCAAGCAGAGGCAGGGGCCATCAGTCATTCTGCTCTGGATAGAGCCACATTTAGTGGGTTACAGCATCATAATTTGTGGCAGAGAAATGGCAGATGATATGGGAAAAGGACATAGAAAATGATAAAAAAGATATGAAGTAAAATAAATCAGAAAAAATGATATAATTAATTTTTGCTTGAAAAAAGAACAATATTATTTAATCAATATTTGCAAAGGATAAATGTTGACTTTGACTGAAGTGTTCTCTGCATCTCCATGGGCTGAACCAAAATAAACAAAATTAGATTAGGAATATTAAAACAACACTAAACATTGAGGGAAAGTGTAGAACTTCAGTGTCAAAGATATCTTGACTTTGATTCAGTATAGAAAATGCCACTCCATACGATTTTATCCAATTGTTAGATTCTATAGTGTCCAAGAATAAATTTGCTCACAGTTCCAAAGGGTCCTGGAAGAAGGAAGTATATGGTGGGACCAGACCCAGCTTCCCCTTAGGTTTTAGCCGAGCAGCCATGACATCTGTGGAAGAGAGGCCACCTCCCATCCTCTGTGAAAGACTTACACTTTCACCAACCCAAATGAGAACTCCGTGGATTCCAAAAGTATGCTGTCTGGCAAGAAACACAAACCCAAGCCTTTGAGAGAATGCCAATAAGATGATCTCTTACCTTTTAAAATATTCAGAGAGTCAAGTATCAGGGAAATCTGGGCCCTATAGATGTTTTCATTTTGACTCCAAACTTATTTTCAGTTGAAAGCTGGCACTTGATGTTACTATTTAAATTTTTATGATTAAAAATGTCCTAGATTTTTTCTGTATATTTTATAGCATGGAGATATTTAAGTTATATTCTAAAATCCATTTTAGTTATATACTTTGACATACTTCTATTGCATAAAAAATGTCCCCACCTCCCTGGGCAGGAAAGAAGCACAGAGGATGTAATGACTACTGTGACTATTATGAATAGTACTTTGCTGCTGAAAAGTCACAAAAGATTACAGATAAATGTGAAAACCACAGTGAGATATTTTAAAATTTCTCTGATGTACCTGGCTGGGAAAAGGTTGCTTTAGGATAAGTTCAGCTGAATTTTAGAACATAGAGAACAACATTTTTCATCTTAATTATCTCAATATATTTATGAAAACACGTGCTGCTCCCCCAGTACGAACCACATGCATCACAGAGAGAATGCTCCTGTCTGATAACATGGAGGTGAAACCTTTGTTGCTAGGTACACTCACACAGGCACATAGAAACACACGTACATATGTACACATAGGTACATATACATATAAAATTTATGAGAGACTTGCCTTAAGATAATGGTAATTAGGATTTTAAAAGTGAGAACATAAATAAGCATAGAATAAATATATTTATAGATCTTTACTAGATACTAGAAATTCTAGGAAAAATTCAAAGTTCACATCAACTGGATACAGACTAGTATCTGTGTACTAACCTAAATACATGTATGTAAAACATATATTTGTATGTTTTAGAAGATTTAGAGTGGTGAAGGGGTGACCCTTACCCGTGAGCAGCTGTCTGCAGGCCACCGCCACCAGCACCCCGGGGCTTGTGAGAATGCAGAATCTGCATTGTACCAAGATCCTTAGGTGGGACGTATGACCTTTAAACATTTAAATTCGAGGAATTCATCAAAATCACCAGTATTTTTTCCTGCATTGTTTGTTAAAGGACAGTAGATCTGTCTGCTAATTCAAACCATGTTTATACTTCTTTGAAGTCTATCAACTACTTCTGACTCTAAGCGTTCTCACCAGATTTGAAGGTTCCAAACAGATATCAAAACCATCCAATAATGACTAAAATTTTTAAAGGAGACAAGAAGGCAGTCTGTCTCTTTATTACACCAGGCATGTAATCAAAGTAGAGACATAGCATCAGTTAATATAACATCATTCATTTAATATGTAATTTAAATTTGGTATGTCAGTAAGTTGTCTTAATTTTACACATGTTGCTATGAAATAAGTCAATCATTATTTTAATAATGGATGAGCATTTCTTTAAGAAAAATGTTTAAGAAGTCTCCAAGAGATTTTATTGGCACTATACATCTGTATTTCTCATCTTCTCACTTAAACTTGTTTAAATACCACTTTACATTCCAGGGACTTTAAGACCATTCACACTCACTGAGTCAGATGAGGAATTCTCCCCCGAACTTGGCTGCCAGGAAAGGGGGTGCTCTGCCCCCCGACCCCAACTCTGCCTCCATGTACCAGGAAGGAAGACAACCCCCTTTACGATGAAGAAACAAACTTGATAATACAAAGAAACAGAGTTATAGGGATAAAAGGAAACCAAACCATGGATAGCTACAACCTGGATAGTGAGCCTTGACTAAGTACTCAGGTATGGTAACTAAATTGTCCAGGACACCTGTTTCTATTGGAAATGACAGAAATTCTTTGCTAGCTAGAATTTTTGATCACATGGAGTAAGAATGCCTGCTACCTCAGGACTGTTGGAAATATGACTGTTTTACATGATGCATTTAGTGTTGCTGCAAAGTTAACATTTTGAAGCTATATATGTATATAGAGTATACACACATATCTAAACATATACATACATATTAAGACATGTGCACATTTCTTAATAATTAACCTCACAGAAATGAAGACGCTTTGTAGGAAACCACATAAACTTCCAAAAAACTTTCACAATTTAAACATGTTATAGTTGAAGTGAAAAATCTTAGCTGAAAGCAGATGTTTCAAAAACAGGTAAAAGGCAATCATTTAACTAGCATTTATGAGAACATTATATACTGATGTATGTGTATGATCTAGAGCTTAAAATAACAACTGGAGGGAAAATCGCTGTACAGTAAGAGTGCTCTCACCTATTTGCACTAGAACATTGCATCGGGCCTCTGGGCGTGGACTGGCCTTGCTCCAAAGGGGGGAAATGCTGAGCAAAGAAGAGGATGTTAAGAACAGAGCTTTTCTACATAGGACTACGCTGATAGTCACATCACATGTGATAATTAGAAGCTGAATATCTTAATTGTAGAACTAAAAGGTAGTAGGAATAATGTGTTAGAAATCAAGAGGGAGCGAGGCAGCGGTGCTGAAAGACGGCAGGTACAGACGCTGTAAAACCTGGGTTCCCATCCTGACTCTGCCCCTGGAGCTGTGGCCTCAAACACATTTCTCAGCCTGGATTAGCCTCAGGCATCTCACCTGTAATCGTGTGCACTGAGTACAGTCACAGAGCGGGCGAAGCACCCAGCAGAGGGGCCTGGCACTCAGGGTGTGGTGAAGAACAGTATATATTATTATGATGATAGTTCTAACTTGGAGAGGCCCACCATTTCTACAAAAACATCATTTATTGCTTTCAAACCTCCTTATGAATATTTCCCAGCCCCTGACCAAACCAACTTACTTTAATTATTTCTGCCATGGAGATGCTATTGACTTTAAGGATTAAAAACAGACTCATTCTACTCAATCTACCAACTCAATCACACATTGAAGAAATTTTCTAAAAGGCATCCGCTTCATTAGGTTGATCATAAGGTAATGTGCATTGAAAATCCTTTCCCATTTCTGACGTATTTTAAACTTTCTCCCACTTCCACAAGTAGCCTAAGGGAGGAGACACAGGTTCCAGAGGATTTATTCCTAATCGTGCTACACAAGGAGGGGCTCTGGAGAGATGGCATCAGCATGCGGACAGCCAGAGGAGTCCTGAGACCCCCATGGGCAGGCCACTGGGGACACACCAGTGAGGTCATTTACTGCAAATGATTCCCCAAGGACCCTTACACTGGTCTCAGCACCAGCTGAAAGGGCTCCGCTGATGAGCTGGGCAGAAACTCTCCCGCTGGCTGCAGAGCTGCATCTCTAAACCCACTGCCCGTGGAAGGAAGGTCTGTACCCAGGCCCTCTCTCTGCACTAATGGGAGTGCTGTCATGAAATCTTTGCTCTCTGAAAACAGGCAATATGTTTTTTTTATTGCATTTAAGTTGTTCTTTTGGTGAAAAGTTCAAAGTTAGCTTTCTATGAATGGCCACTGGTGAACTTACATGACATATCACAGTCAGATAGGGGTGTTATGCACTCACAAACAAATTAATCATTAAAATAGGAGACCACCTGTTTCAAATGCATTTGACACCACTGACAATATAAACCAGAAATACTTGGTTTACAATATTAATTCTATTTGTCTCAATCAAGAATAACTATTAATGCATTCTTAAAGATAGAAAAAGTGATGTTTTTCATATTTTGTGATTGTATTACATTGAGTTGTTTTTCAGAATATACTGAAATAAACTGAATCTACTTTCAAAAGTTATTTTTTCTTTTTGTTTCCTGAAAATAATCAGACTGTTGCTTAAGAAACTACCAGGGTGAATCTAATGAATCCTACTTGATATGTAAATCAAAACCAATTTTGTCATTCACTTTAAAAGGACATATTAAAAACCTATGTTGAAAAAGAACTCATTTGATTTTGGTACATGGCAACATTAGAAGCTAGTGGTCTAGCTAACACAGGCAACCATGCAGGAAGAGTTACAACAGTCACAGAAATATCAGAGTAATTCTTGCTGAAAATAAAGGAAGAATAAGAGTGGGTCCCTAGTTTCAGTGCTAGTAACTTATTACTGAGTTCATGTTTACAAAATCAGGTCCCTTCCAAACATAAACATGTGAAATCTTTTCATCAGCTTGAAAGAGATTGCATTCTATTAATTAGATACATGCAGCATTAAAATCTACCTTGACATTAAAAAAAAGTCTGGAAAAAGTAACTTAATTTTCCTCAATAACTCAATTTTATTTTGAAGTCCAGGTAAAAACTCTGGGACCAGTTTACTTTTGTGTAACATCATGGTCATGTCACATCCCTTCCTTTCTGAACCACCACCAACCCTCCAAACAAATAAAAAATAAAAACCTTGTCTCCAAATAAAATATAAAACAAATCCCCCACTCCCAAACAAAACACACACACAAAAAATGTTGAGCAAAGAACTCCAGACCTTTTTTTTAAAAGGGTGAAAACACTGGTAAGATTATTTTCACTTCAATTACTTAACTCATCTGACTGGAAGCTTCACAAATGCTAAGGGTTCCTGTGGATCCAAAGAGAATCCAGTATAAAGAATTTAAGGAAAGCATCTCAACTCTTGGCCGGGCAGTGGAAGTGCTTGGTAAACGCAGCGCCGGGTGTGCAGGAGCTTGGGAGTGGAAGGCTGCTACACATCGCTGGGTGACCGAGCTCTCTGGGAGAGGCTGGATGGGATGCAGCCACAACAAACGAGGCAAAGGGCTTTCTGGATCTCTTGGTTTCTGAAAGCATATATGACAGGATTGATGACAGAATTGTAGGTGGCGGGCAGGAGGGTGGCATACGTGTAGATGGAGGGATAGGTGTAATCAGCTATCAAAGAATAGAGGGTGAAAGGCATCCAGCAAGCAGCAAAGGTCCCCAGGATGATGGCCAGGGTGGAGACCCCTTTCCGGGTGGTCACGTAGTGCGAGGTGGCCAGGAAGTGGTGCTGCAGGGCTATCTGGTGGGCGTGCCTCATTACGATCTTACAGATCTGAATGTAGAGCTGGAGCATGAGCGCGAACATGAAGAGGAAGGAGATGGAAAGGATGGCTGCGTTGTTCTTGGTGAGTGGTCTGACCACGCTGCAGGTGGACTCGTCTCTGAGGCAGTTCCAGCCCAGGATGGGCAGCAGTCCCAGGCAGATGGAGGTCCCCCAGAGCATGATAAGCATGACATAGGTAAACGTGACTGTCCTCTCCGAATGGTATGTCAAAGCATAATACAGGGAGAGGTAGCGGTCAACAGTGATGGCCAGCAAGCTGCAGACAGAGGCGGAGAAAGAGGCGACAATGAGTCCAATTGTGACCAGCTTGGTGGCTTCTGACTGAAGCAGGTAGGCAAAAACAAAATTGATGATGAGTCCAATGCCCGCCAGCAGGTCTGCCAGAGCCAGGCTGCCTATCAGCAGGAACATGGGTGCTCGGAGGCTGGGGTTATGGAAGATGATGAGGACCACGACGGCATTTTCACAGGAGATGACAGTTCCTGAGGTACACAGGACAATGTCCCAGGGGTTGACCACGAGCTCTGGCCGTGGCTCCACAACAGGAACCTGGGGGGAGACGGCAGCCGAGACGTTCTCTGGAGCAGCACCGGCATCTAAGTAATCCCGAAGCAAGCCGCTGAAATTGACCTTCGGGTCTCCGTTCATTTTAACCCCTGGCCTTTTCAACGAAAAGACATTTTTTTAATGGAAAGGTACATCAGGGGGACAGTCCAACATCATGCAAAACGACACAGAATGAAAGCCAGACCCTCTTCCAATACCGCTATCAAATGCCACAAGTTTCGTGAACTATAAAACTGTTGTGAAATAAAACAAAAGCCAAAGTCTCCGTGATCTAAAGCCCACTGCAAACAATGCCATGTGGCGTTGGGAAAAGCACAGGAAAGGACTTCAAAACACAGTCTCGAGTGAGGCAGGCCCACGGGGACGGCGCGGTCCGTCCGCTTGCTGGAGTGCGGTGACGCACCCGCCAGCACCGCATCCCGCACCCGGAGCGGACGGCTGTGACCTCTGGCGGCGGAGCCCGGCACGCCGCGGCCAGGAGTCGGAGCCGGCCGCCATCCCGAATGCATATTTAAATCACTCGTTTGCATCGAGCGCCCCCCTCTAAAAAAACCCCGGCGCGTGCTCACACTCGTCCTCACCCCCAGCCAGAACAAAGAGGGGTCTGGACTTCTCCTGTGTGCACAATGGGCGGGTGTGTGCAATGGAGGTGTGGAGACAGGCGGAAGGACAGACAGACCGACAGATGCTCAGACACTGCCACCGCTCCCCTGGCGGCGGGGACCGGCGGCGGACGCGAGGGGAACAGACCGGGTGGCGAGACCCGCGGCCCTGGGGTCATCGAGGGGGTCACCTTGGAGCTCGCAGGCCGAGGGGGCTCCTCCGACGCGTCCGGAGCACGTGGCAAACCCTGTCGCAGGTGGGCGCCGCGGCGCGCGGCCGCGAAGGGCTGTGGCCGTGAGAAGGGCTGGAGGCCGGGGGCGCGCTGGGCGCCAGGTGAGCGGCGGGCGCCAGGTGAGCGGCGGGCTGGGCTGGAGCGCCCCGCTCTCCCCGCCCGCCCGCCCGCCCGCGGGTCGAGTTCGCACGCTCCCCGCATGCGCGCGTGCCTGGCTCCGCGCCCGCCCCGCTCGCTCCCGTACGGGGAGCCCCGAGAGATCGGCGCGCGCCCCCACAGGTTGCGGCTGCGAGGGGGCGCGGGCAGAAGCCCCGCACCGCGCTCGGGGAGGCGGAGAACCCGGAGGCCGAGAAATGCGCCGTCACCCATGCTGCCCGCCGCCCCGCAGGCCAGCTCTGCCGGCGGTCCAGGGCTGGCAGGCGTCCGGCTGGGTCCAGGGAGCCCCGTGACCTACTTCGTTCCTGAGGGCTCCCTGGAGAGTCCGCGTCTCCAGTGGCCTCTTCTCTCCGCCTTTCCCTAAACTGCTACCTACATTCACAGTCAAAAGAATTGCTTGGGGTGGTATTCAGGATTCGCAGCAGGAATGTAGGGTGAGCGGGTTACAAGAGGCAGATCTTTAAAGCAGCAAAATGCGCAGCCAGCTGTTCTGGAATTGCTCTTGAACACATTGCATCCCAATTCCAAAGGGGTCCCTTTCCTTAGTGTGCCTGGACTCGGTTCATTATTACTTTTTCCCCAGAACGTTTGCCTGGCTATGTGAATCATCATTAGTATCATCAAACTGCACTTATTAAGTGCTCCTTGAGCTATGTTTTCAAGGGGAACTCACTGAGTTTCTGCAGAAGCTTCCTGCAGGTGCTGTCCAAAAACCAATTCATTTAGGTACTGAAGTAGCAGTGTTAATTTATTTTTCCATTTTAACACAGGTTCTAAGATTGAGAACCTGATAGCAGGCTGCTCTTCGGAGCCTATGCCTTCCTCCAGATACAAAAACCAGAGCACCTAATAGATCTTAAGTTGAAAGATGGCCTCCCAGTTCAAAGATGGGAGAAGGAAAAGGCCTGATATTCTGGTCTTTCCCTCTCAGCAGAAGGTTTTTCCAACTACCTTTCTTCACATGTACTGAGAGGCTCCTGTGCCAACAGAGATGGTCTGCAGAACGCAGGACCCTAGAACTCCTTCTATTATTCTCTGACCATCCCGTCTCCCCCTGGTTCTCACTGTCATTCCTTACCCCAGCCTTCAGGCGCACCCACCTTTGACATCCCCTTCTCCCCTCCTTCCTTCCTCCCATCAGGCAACTCCAGCCTCTGCAAGACCTCTGCAGCTCTCCCTGCCTGTCAGTTCTCAACTACAAATCGGCAGCTCTGGGGTAGGGCCCCAATCTGCATTTGCAATCCTCTCTCCCAGTGATCATGATGCTGCTGGTCTGTGGACCACACTTGGAGAAGCAAGGTTCCAAGGAGTTTTAAGAATCGTTTGTAACTGATGGGGAGTCATCAGATGCCTGCACCCATCAAGAACCATGTTAATGCTGGGCGTGCCAATTCAGACATGTGTGTAATCTGGTGGTGACAAACTCATGGAGCAGCAATGACACCAGGCAGCAAATGCTGTAATAAATGGATGTACTTCTTCCTCTCAAGTGCTATGTGATGAATCAACGCATTTTTTGAAAAAGCTATGAAAATCGTTCTTTAAAATACACATAGCAACTTCAGCATGCTAGAGTTCAAACTGCCAGATGAAATTTTAGGAGCCTCACATCAGCAGGGCAGTTTAGGGAAAGTGAGGGCACAGCACCAGTCAGGCACTGTTCTGGCCAATAGCACTCACTCACAGAGCTTTCAGTAGTGGAATTTATCCCCTGTTTAATGTCTTTGGAAAGGAGGAAAAAGAAAGAACTGAGGGTGGGGGGAGAGGCATGTATGTTTCCGCAGTAAAACCTGGGAATGGTTGAAGGAAGAAACAGGACAGTTAGCTGTGTATTCACAGTTCAGTTCAGTTACCCTTCCCCTTGAATGAGTACTTGCAGCAAAAAGAGTGTCAACTTTACTATACTTCTAATTCTATGTTCATTGGTATTTGGACTTTTGTTGCTAAGGGGCAGAAATCCAATACAAAGTAGCTTAAGAAAAAAATGTGTTGACTTGCATGCCTGGGAAGGATCCATTCAGTGGTTCACAGAGAAGCAGGAAAAGCGGCAGGAATTCTTGAGACTCCTGGCCAGTCCCTGTCCCTGCCTTATTTCTTGTCTTTTCCAGGCTCAAACTGTTCCCCCCTAGACAAGCATCTCCCATGCAGCATATGATTGTAGCCCAGGAAGCCCCTGGCTTGCATGCTGAGACATCTTCCTAGTTGGTGAGGGGAATTCCCAAAAGACTGGCCAGCCTGGTGTGGGCCCAGCTCTGAACTAACCATGTGGCTGATGGGAAAGGATGAATCGTGGCCAGGCCTGGATCGTGCATAGAGTCCCACAACGGCATTTCCATCTGAACTTCATGGAATGGGTGTTTCCCTATAGAGAAGAAGTGAGGGGGGGCACGGGTCAGGGAGATACTGGGTGTCCTCTACAGCTTGCAGTATGGTGGGCAGACAGGTTTCCACGGCCCCTGTGACAGGGGTCATGAAGTAGCTGTCTGCACGGTGCTTCTCGGTGTATTCACCACTGTAGCAGGACACTATCGCAGATGACCTCAGTATGTGACATTTATTGTCCTTTCATCACTTATCCTTTTTGTCACTTTTTTTATAACTTTGCAAGAAATTATAAACCTTCAAGCATGATCAGGCATTTTCACAACCTATGCTAATAATTACTGTTTTGTGAGGAAAAAGCTCTGGGCCCGTCTTCATCTATGCAGAGTCCTCACCACTGTCACCCTGCACCTGCATCTACTAACCCTCTGGGTGATGGAGTGTGTAAGTCACAGGCTGTCTCAGATCACCGACTGGAGCAAGACAGACCCGAGCCAGCACTGTGCGGCATCCATGGTGTCGAAATGTTACTAGTCTGCTTCCTGTTTGTGTTGACGGTTACTAGTCAGTTCCTCCCTGTGTGTATTTAATTGGGGCACTGATCTGGATCAGCTCAATCATACTTTCTTCTGTCTAGCCAGGGGTCTACATCATACCTGAGATTAAAGCATGAGTCCAAAGTAAAGTTTAATTTTTATTAATTCTTTATCTTACAGTGAATTTTACTGCAGAAAGTACCTGTTTCAGAAGTGTACAGTATGATGAAGAGATACCAAGTGAATCTAACCATCTTGAGAAATAGAACATTGCTGGCACCCTAAAGCCTTCTTCCTGACCCCTGCCAGTTACTATCCCCCTGGGGAGAAGGAAACCACTGTTCCACATTCGAACACCATAGACTAGGTTTACCTGGTTGTGAACTGACATCAGTGGAATCATAAACCCCATAAACTATTGTGTCTGGTTTCTTTCCCTCACCATGATTTCTGTGGGGTGTACTGATGTGTTGCATGGAGCAGTAGTTCCACCTTTTTAATTGCTGTGTAGTGTTCTATTGTAGAAATGCCAGTTTTTTAATCCACCCTCTATTAAGCAACATGGGTTGTTTTGACTACTGCAAATAAAACCTTGATAAACATCCTTATACATGTCACATGATGCTCATTTGTATATATTTCTATTAGGCATGTCCCATAGGATGAAGAATTTCTCCATCAAGTACACGTTCATATTTAATACTCTACTTAAACAAATCTGGCTTCAGTGTAAGGAGAGTGAGAGGCCTACAAGAAAATCATAGCATACCTGTCCTTTCCCTGTTTATAAGTCCCTTTAAACTCTGAACAGAGGAGGGAGATGGTTCATGAGAAAATCAAAGACAAAGAAAGAAAGGAAATGTCGCTGAAAATGTTTAGTCTGAGAGTCTGTGAGAAAGGAGAGCTCTGTCGTCAGTGCTAACAGGGCCTCGTTTCTGTATATATTGTTCTGATTTTAAAATTGTATTAAACTTTGAATGTTTTTTTCTCATTATAAAGTAATACATATTCATTACAGAAATTTCAGAGCCTGTAACTAAAATTAAAAAGTAAAATTACCTGTACTCTCACTTCCAGAGATAGTCCCTGGGAACTTCTGTTAAGGTAAGTTTTTAATTCAGTAATTTGGGATTTACTTTTTGGCAGTATAACTCACTTTTCTTCTTTCCTTCCTCCCTCCCTTCCTTCCTCTGTCTCCTTCTCTCTCTGCCTCGCTTCCTTCCTTACTTTTTTATCCTCACGTAAGGATACATTTATTGATTTTAGAGACAGAAGAAGGGAGAGGGGGAGAAAGAGAAACATCAATCAGTTGCCTCCTGCATGCATCCCCCGACCCCTGGGATTGAATCGGCAGCCTAGGTGCGTGCCCTGACCAGATATCAGGCCCCCAACCTTTCGGTGTACGAGATGATGCTCCAGCCAACTGACCCACCCGACCAAGGCTAAACTCGGTTTTCTTTGGGTATGCAAGGGCATCCCTTGCCTCTCCGACCTGATAGGCTGAGTCTGTGGAGCCCCCACCGGGCACAGGGCCCCGTGCGGCGAGCTCTTCACTTCCCAGAAGTTAGGACGCACTCCACCACCAGCAGCTTGTTGGACACTGTTGTTAGGGAAAATGGCCAGCCGGCTGCCTCCCACGAAGCCTCACATTAATTTCTCTGCAAATTTACTCTGGTTTAGGGGGCTTTATATTAACTAGGCTGATACATTTTTGCCAAAATGCCAACTAGCATCTAAATATTTACAGTCTCAAAGCCAGGTATGAGTAGGCCTTGAGCAAGTCAACACTCCACCTGTGTCCTCTATTTGTAGCGTGAGACTGTGAACAACATCGACCTCCTGGGGCTGGTCTGTGCGTGACGCAGGGTGAAGCACATGTATCCCAGCCTGGTGCAAAGAAAGCCAAGGGTCTGTAAGTAATGGTCACAGTTCTTGTTGTGGTCACTGCGAGTGTAGCGTCTGCTGGCCCTCCTGTGAGCGGGGTCCACATGAATCCTATTAGTTCAGTTGCACCAGCCAGATGCCTCAGCCTCTGGACTGCAGTCACCACTCACAGAACACCCAACCTGGCAGGAAACTCTGCTTACCATCAAAATACATCCAGGATGGGTAGTGGCCAAAACTTGGAGGCAAGCAAGATGCCCTTCAGTAGGTAGGGGATAACACACCGTGGTATATGCTGACTGTGGAATATTATGTAGCAGTACAAAGAAATAAGCTTGCCAACCATGAAGAGACATGGAGGATATGTCAATGCATGTTACTAAGCAAAAGAAGTCAGTGTGAAAAGTTTACTTCCAACCATGTGACATTCAGGGAAAGGCACAAGTATGGAGACAAGAAAAGAGGGGTTTGGGGGTGGGAGGGATACATAGACGCAGCACTGAGCACTTTTAGGGCATGTAAACTGCTCTGTATAACACTGCAATGGTGGATACATGTCGTTATGTGTTTGTCCAAACCCAC